TCATTTTCAGACTATATTCACAGCTGTGTACATACATTGACTATATTTAATTATATGAATATAACAGCTCTTACAACACAGTTGATCATATTCTCAATCAGAGACAGAGAATAGTAACTCTTTATTATTTTAAAGTTCAGATTATAGTAGTTTATACATAATCTGAGATCTTTATTCTTCTTCTTTATAAATATTACAGAGGCTTCTGTGAAGATCTGTGAGAGTCAGATAAAGTCATTCTTCAGATTCTTCTTTATATAAGTCTGTAAAACATCTGTCTTATGATGAAAGAGCTTATAGATTAGTTCTCAGAAGAGTTTCTACTCTTCTATCAAATCTATTATCAGATTCTTCTTATAGTGAGATGAAAGCTTAACTATCTTAATTAAACTGAATATCTCTGTGAGATCTTGATATTTCTCTGATATCTGAAGATCAGTTTTCATAACTGTGAAGTTCTCAGATATTTATAAAGTTATTATATAGATAAGCTTGTCTTCTCTAATTAACTCTACAGTATTAACTAATTCTATCTCTATAAGTAAGTCTGTCAACAGTGATTGAAAGTATAAATCTAACTTACAGACAGCTATGTGGAGATTATGTCTTTGAAGCTATATAAGTTTCAAGTACATGTTATCTATGATGTCTGTGATAATCATAGTTTCTACAAATCTTCTTCAGATTTCAGAGAGATCTTGTAATTCAAAGATAACTCTTATAAGTTTCTCAGCTCTCAGATCTGAGTTCTTATACTCTGCTTATTATAAGATCAGATTTTCTGTTTTCATCACTTAGCTCATTCACTCTGCAAGCTTTAGAGACACTATAGGTACCTGAGATTCTGAGTTCATTAATACTTCTCATGCTTATGAGATAGCAGTACTGTGATACAGTCTCTCTTCATGAGCATGCATTTTCATTGAGAGAGTAACAGATTCAGATATCAGCTTCAAGACTCTTAAGAAGACTGTTACTGACTCTGTTTATAACTTCTTAAATTTCTATTTTAATTTATTCAGACAGTTTATATGAAGATATTCTAGTTTAGAACAGATAAAGCAGAGTCTCTTTTTCTTAATCTCTCTATTATATACTCTGTTTATAGAAGCTTATAAAGCTCTCTCTCTCTGCTCAGCAGTCAGATATAAATCTCTTTATATTTTATTATCTTTCTCTGATAAATCTGTTCTCTATTATTCTGATTCTTATGAGATCAGTCAGTGATTTACTCTCTATAGATCTGTGACTCTCACAGTAATCTGTAAGCAGTGAATAAGAGTTATCAGTTTCTTCAGAGTCAAGAGCTTAGAGTCTTATTTAATACACTTATTCTGTATATTTTTATTCAGTTTCTTTATAAATATTATTATTCAGATCTTGTTTCAGAGCTCTATTTTCACAGATCTCAATTCATATTATAATTTTATAAAGTGCTGTGAGTAGTCTTTATCAGATTTCTCACCTCTTTTTCTAATATTAATGATTGCAGCTCAGATGTTCTCTATTCAGTTTATAAAGTCTTTCAACTTATTCTCTAGATATATCTTAAGAACAGATTAGTAAGATCTCTTATAATCATTCTCTAGATAATTCAGTCAGTTCTTAACTTTAATATAGTAGAAATCTGTTGTTACATAGATAATAGCTTTTTCCTCTTTCATATTACATAGTCAGACTTGTGAGTCAATTTCAAATACAAACTTGTAAAAGCTTTTATAGATTGTGATTTGATAGTTAGTCTTAAGTAGTTGTAACTTAAGAAAGTTTCTTTTCAGTTCATAAGTGTTTCTGAAGATTATGTCTAGAGACTTGATTTAAAAGTGTTTACAGACAGTAAGTATTTCTTGTAGAAAAATAGCTTGATTCTGTGAGAGATGCTCAAGAATGTTCTTCACTGAGATTAATTCATTTGTAAGTTTAGAGAGTTTCTCTATCACAGATATAGAGAATGATATCTTATAACTAGTTAGTAAGTTCTCTGAAACTTCTTTTATAAGAGTTATTCATGATTCAGATGACTGCTTCTGAGTATCTGCAGTAGAGTTCACAGAAGTTAAAGTATACAAGTTTCTAGTTCTTTCAGTTATAACAGATGATTGCTGACTGATAGAGCTTGAAATATAAGAATAAGTACATATAGATGATTATTCAGGTGTTTGCAGCTTGACATAATATATACTGTTAACTACTAGAAGTATTCACAGTAGAAAGATAAAATATAGAGATTAAATGTATAATAGTATTTAAGCTGAGTTGTAAATAGTATTTACAAACTTCAGTCTATATAGTTGTATGTAGCCAAGGGCCGCTAACCCTATTGATTACACGAGAGATAGAAATAGAGGTAAAGAATCCGCGAGGAGTGGGATTTCTTACACATTGCCTAAAAGCATTACTTCTGATCATGGTTTGTATTCATTACATTGATTTCAAATCATGTTATTTCAAATATTAAAGGTCTCAGATTCACTTTTCAAATAAAAATCTAGTCTTAGATAAAGAATATATTTGAATTCTTAGTCACATTTTCAGTCTGATCTCATTATTGAGAATGATATTAAATGAGACTATGAAATCATTTCTCACTTACATAATATTATAACATAGTACTCATTTATTGAAAATTCAACAGAGAGTGTTATTAAATATCATTACTTTTCTGAATACAGATTATAATTGATATAATTTTAAGTATGACAAAAATATAAAATATAAAAAAAATCAAAAAACAAAAAACAAAATAAAATCAAAAAAAATCAAGGTCACAGAGCCGCAGTACGCTTAAAATACTCACTCTTCAGAGTCTTCACAATGTGTGAAAGATGTAAAGCTTGCGTGATTGAAAGATTGCTAGCTTGTGAAAAGTTATATAATGAAAGAATTAGTATATCAGATTATATGACCTGACTAGACTGACCGTGTGACCGTGTCTGAGACCAGGACCAAACTTTACAGTTGTCATGTTACCTAAAAGCATTACTTCTGGTCATGGTTTATGTTCATCACATTGATTCCAAATCATGTTATTTCAAATATTAAAGATCTCAGATTCACTTTTCAAATAAAAATCTAGTCTCAGATAAAGAATATGTTTGAATTCTTAGTCACATTTTCATTCTGATTCCATTATTGAGAATGGCATTAAATGAGACCATGAAATCATTTCTCACTTATATAATATCATAACATAGTGCTCATTTGTTGAAAATTCAACAGAGAGTATTATCAAATATTGTTACTTTTCTAAACACAGATCATAATTCATATAATTTTAATTATGAAAAAAACATAAAATACAAAAAAAAACAAAAAACAAAAAACAAAACAAACACAAGAAAAAATCACAATAAAAAAAAAAAAAAAGAAAAGAAAAAGAAAAAAACAAAAAATAAAAATAAAAAAAAATCAAGATCACAGAGCTGCAGTACTCTCAAAATACTCACTTCTCAGAGTCTTCACAATGTTCATTATCAACTGTGTATCCCTCACAGTGAGAATAACATGGCTGTGATGAATCATTGTCTTAACATTATCTAATAAATAATCAGTATATATCTGTATAAATGTGAATAATTAGAAAACATACACTTAAAAAGTGTGGCCAGGGTGGACTCTGCTGCCACTTGAATGACATCAAGGACAGAATACTGAAATTGATGATTCCTCTCATCAATTTCACAGACAAGGCATGTGAAGATGATCTTGAGAAATATAAGATCTTCTGACTTCTGGTAAAAACAGATCTCATGAAGAGACTCTATTTTCATGATATCAGAGACTGAGTGTTATCAAAAAGCATTACTTTCATGCAATGCACATGCACTTACTGCAGCAATTCACTCTCTGCACATGTGACTGAGGGTTGCGGCTTTCCCACACTGCACAGCTCTCTCTGAGATGCTGCTATCAGTTTGCAACTCACACAGTCTCCCAGTCCAGCATGCACTGCGTGTATGCAGCCCTGTGTACTGGGGCTGTGTTGATCATTATAGTCTGGCGTGGTACTCACTTTTCGCGAGCCATGTTTTGTTTGAGAGGGGGGAAGAAGAAGATGTGACTGTTGTTTTATTAAGAGAAGAATGAATAATTAGTATTATTGAATATAATTTGATTCATCTGTATTTAAAATTTGATTAGTCTATACTCTTCAATTTGAGGGTTTCTATGAGTGTTTTAATAGTTTTCATACCAGCTTGGACTTAGTGATGAGTTGAAGAAGAAGAGAAAAGAGAGAAGAAAGAAATGAGAATAACTTATCTTTATAATATGAAAACAGAGAATCACTGCAATCATTCTCTCTAGCAACAAAGATCTGTTTTCTGCATGTATCCCTGATATAGATTATATGATAAATGCATACAAAGAATATCAATAGTGCATGCATTGAATGAAGATAATGTTGCTATGCAACACTGTAGCTGTTTCTGTACATCTCTGAAAGCTGTTAATAGTTTCTTTGTCTCTTTATGTTTGATAAGTCAATAATATATTCTGATGCACTTCTCATTTCATTATCATCATCATCATCATTATCATCATCATCATCACTATTATCATCATTATCATCATCATTCTCATCATCATTATCATCATCATCATTATCATCATCATCATCATTATCACTATTATATCATTGCCTGCCTTCACTTCCCTCTCAACACTCATCAAAACCAATCATGTTATCCCCCTTCAAATATTCTGCGGTCCTGTGGATTATCAAGGCGCGTGAGCACTGTCACAGATTGAAGAAAGAGAAGAAGAAGGTGTTCAAGCACAGAGAGACAGATTGCAAGGCACATTATAATGCCTTGAAGAGGCTCTGCAAGAGAGTAGAATGATAATGATTTTAAGTAACACTTCTGATAGATTTAGACTGAACTAAGTATAGAAATAATGCAGATAATGCCACTCATGAGAGATTAGAAAAGAAGACAGTGAAGAGCCTCATGCAGCAGTGATGAGACCAGGAGAAGTTCTGAGAATGATTTAAGACCAAGATGAAGAGAGAGAGGGAGAAGAAGAGTGTTACTGTAAATAAGCAGTGACAGAAGAAGATTGAGAAGATATTGAAATGAGAGACAAAGAAGTCAAAACTGATAAGTTTTTTATTGAGAGATAATGATTTTTAATAACACTTCTGTTCTCTAATTGATTAGCAGGAGCTGGCAGAGGAGGGAATTGAGGCCTTGTTCAGGTCTCAAATGCACTCCATGATTCAGGACATTGAGGAGACAGCCCTGCTCTCTGAGCATGCCAATCTGCTTGCTGCTGAGATGGAACCTGAGACAGCAGACCAGGAAATGCGGGATTTTGAGGCACAGGTTGACCTGGCTGAAGAAGAGCAGCAGGAACCCTTCTCTGAGAAGGCAGCAGAGGGAGATTTTGAGATGATTATCACCTCAGATGAGAAGGAGAAGAAGAAGAATGAGAATGAGAAGTGAATTGTGAAGAATGATGAGAAGAATGAGAAAGAGAAGAAAGATAATGAGTAGAAAAAGTTTTTTTCTTTTTATATTAGTTAGTTATAAGTTCATAACTATTAGTTAATAATTGAAATTAATTTTGAGTTTTCAAAAATTATTGTACAAGTTGTAATCAATTATCAATGTCAGGAATAATATATATATATATATTCAACTATCATGCCACTATAATGTATAAGTATCAACATTTTTTCAATATTGATATTCACAATATTAATATATTTTTAATAATATCATCTGATAACACAATTTAGTAACACTCTCTTTCATAATATTAATATATTTCAAGAAATATGACAGAGATTAATCAAGATTGTTTATTTACTTTTATACATTGATGATATTCAATCTGAGTTAGTACTAAAATTATAACTAAGCTAAGAAAGAAGATTATTTTCTCTTATATTAATTCTTCTTACATACATCAGTGATCAGTTATTGAAAATAAATTATCATCTTTCTCAAATTATTATCATGTCTTCTGAATTCACTTCTTTCACTTCTTTTACTTCTATTGAAGATTCACAAACTCTTCAAGAAATCACTGTGAATCACAAAGTCTATGTTGTTTACAATTCAACACAGAATACTCTCTTTCAATCATGATGAATGATCACTTCATTCTTCACATCTGATTTCAGGTCATGAAATTTATAAAAAACTCAACACAAATACTGAGATGAACTATGAAATAATTATCAACAGATTGTATTGTAGATTACTGAAGAGTCATCTCTCTGCTATAATCACTACAACTTCATTCAGAAACATTCATCATAAACTGATCATGACTCTGAAGGAATTTTCTGACACCTGAAGTCATCAGAATGCAGACAATAAAAGAAAAATAATCAGAAAATTACTACTGGGCTGATAAGTTGCTCTATCAGATAACAATTTTTGATAACACTAACTTTCTAATTTGAAGAAAATCATGTGAAAATGATCATGTATCAGTACTCTGATTTCACAACTCTCATCTGATAACTTCTGTGAATAATTACTTCATATGTGTATATCTCTGAATCTTTCTCTTTAATCAATTGAAAACCCTGAATTCTGAACACTTCTTCAAATACTTAATTCAAATCTTCATATTCTCCATTGATTCTGTCTTCGGTTCAACCTCAAGATACACTACAAAGTTAATATACAACATCTAGAATCAGAGTTGAAGAATCATCAAAGAGTGTCTCTCACAGTGAATGCATGAACTAGTATAAACAATCTTGCATTTATAAGAGTTACATGTTATTACATTGATGAGAACTGAACTTATCAAGAGACATTAATTGAATTTCAATCATTGATCAGTAGTCATACTGGGGATTATATAGCAGAGATATTAATGACTGTGATTAAAAATGACTATTGAGATATTAGTCTCAGTCTTCTTACAATTACAACTGACAATACTGTGAATAACTACACTATAATGAACAGCTTGGAGCAAAAATTGGCTTTGTATTTCTGAAATGATAAACAAGGTCATATCCTCTGCATTGCTCATGTGGTTCAACTTGTGATACAAACACTGATAAAGAATCTTAACATTGAGATGAAGAATAATGAGATGACTGATTCTTGAAATGAGAATGAGATGAAAGTGATTACTCAAGTAACTTTTACATTCACTTTATAAAAGATAATGTTTTTTAACAACACTTTTTGATATTGCTTTTTAATAATGCTTTTTGATAATGCTACTGTTAATTTTGAATAGATTGACTAATAATTTAAATATCACAGATTTGAAACATTGCTAATGTAATTTGTACCTCTTCTAAACAACAACAACAATTTCATGATATTTAATAAAATAAACAAAATCAGTCACATCACTGAATATGATACAGGATGTTAGAACACAGTGAAGTTCAATATATAAGATGACTGTTCAGGCTTTTCAATTGTGTCAGATGATTGATCATTGAGTGTAACACTCTGATCAGGAAAAGATTCAGACATTGAAACTTTCTGATATGAAGTGAACTCAGTTGAAATATGTGATTGATTTACTGTTTCAGTTTTATAAGATAATAAAGACAGTCTCAATCACTCATACACCAATGCTGCAGTCAGTCTGGTGAGTATATAACAGTTTATTTACTCATCTTGAGAAGCAGTTGAATCACTCAAAAAGAAATTCAGTCTGGGATGATGCTATAGCACAGGCTATTATTACTGCAAGGAATAAACTAGCATATTATTACAGCAAAACTGAACAATCTTTTACAGAGTACTATGCTGTAGCAGCTCTACTAGATCTCTTCTGTTGAGTTAATATCTACACTTCTCAAGATTAGACAGAGAAGAAATGAGACTCATATATCAAATTAGCCTGAGACTACTACAATGTCAACTATCAGAGATTTGAATGAGCAGATGTTTAAGATGTGAAGACAGTGAAATACAATTCTCTAGTATGTAATGATCTTTGGTAACACTTCATATCTCATAGAACTATAATACTAACTTTGAAACAGAACTTGCATACATTGATTGCAACCAAAAATCAGACAAAACTACATACTTGTAAAACTGAATTTGACTGCTATCTTCAAGATAATCTGATGAATTTACACATCAAATCAATTCTAGAGTTATGAAAAATTGTTGAGAGTACATATTCAACTGTTGCACTGATGATGTGTGATATTCTGACAATTTCATTGACAGAGGTGAGAATGGAGTGAAAGTTCAACTCAAGTTGAGATATTTATCACTATTGCTGAGAACAATTACAAGGAGAAACAATCAAGAAACTCATGATTATAAAACATGAAATTATCAGACAGTTTAATACCTCTGATCACAGTATATCAGAGAAGTGTAGTTTTCATGAGAAAGTGAAGAATAAACTTGCACAAGAATGTATTTAGTTGTTTCATGAGTGTTATCAATAATTGTTACCAAATTCTGATTATATAAGCAATCACTGGATGAACTGAATGAGACTGATTTTGATCTTCAGTCTCAGTCTCATTCTGATTTTGAAAGAATGATCATCTTTCACAGTTTATCCTGAGAAATTACTCCCATTTCACTGTTCTTGAATTAAATCTGGTCATTTTTCACGCCATTTCTCTCAGAAATGGTCCATTTTCAGATTTTTTTGAGGCTTGGTCCTGGTGGGACTCACGCCAAGAAATGTATGAGACCAGATCAAATGGGACCAAATGTGAAATTCATGGTCCCGCCGGCCAGTCTAGACCTGACACTCTTACTCACCAGAGTAACTATACACAATGCTATATACACAATTCGCCTTTAAATAAAGTACAGGTACAAAAAATGACTGGAAAATATGTAGCAGTGAAAAATCAGTTATGAGATACATCATTTTTTTTCCTCTATTTCTTCATCTTCATATTCTTCTTTCAATGTGTATATTTCAATGTTTTAAGTGGTTTAGTAAGCTCATTCACCGCGTTCTTGACAGATGAAATATATCAGATAGATATTTCATTCTTGCAGATGAGATTATGAAGAATATGAAAACAGATCGCTATATACTTTGAGCAGCATGAAATTGCTTCAGAAGAGAATAGCTCTATGACAGACTTATTATCAGCATGAATTGTATAAGTCAGATTATTGACTGTGGTAGAAATAAGGTGATCATCAGTATTCAGATTATTGAAATGAAATGAAATGAATTCAGTGTCTTTCAAAAGCTCTCAGAGACAGACAAGCTCATATACAGTCTTGAAGAATGTAATATATTCGGCCTCTGTTGATAATTTGAAGACTTCTGTTTACCAGCAGCTTCATCATGCAACAGGGCCACCTGCCATATAGATGATATAACCGGTGATTGAATGAGATCCTGAATTTCTACTGACTCAATCAGTATCTGTGTATGTCACAGATTCAATTTCACCACCTCTGTGATAGATTAGACTCTTATTGATTGAACTCTGTAGATATTGAAGTGTATATTTGAATGCAGCTGAGTTCTTTGATGTAGACTGAGAGCTGAATTGTTCAATAAATCCTGCAGTGAAGCTCATATTAGAACATGTATTAAATGTCAGATATTACAGAGATCTGATACTGAATTGATAGAACTGTAGAATAAATTCTGCTGTGTATACAATTAGTTTCTCATTATCATTTATGAAATCAATGTTCCTCTCTATAGAAGTGAATATAGAATGACAGTTATTTACTAAGAACTTCTTCAGAAGATTTCTTATAAAGAGAAGTTGAGATAATATTATTGAAGTTGAATCTCTATCAATCTTCATTTCTAAATAGTGATTGAAATTCTCTACATTCTTGATCTTGTAATTAGCAGTGATTTCAGCTTTGACCTAGTTCAGATCATTGATTTTCAGACTGTAGAGATGAACATCATTCACATAGATAATTATATAGACCTGTTTTTCACCATGAATAAATAGCTCAGTATCATAGAGACTGATACAGAAGTCTGAGTGTAATAGCATTTTTCACAGCTTCTTATATCATAAGAGTGCTGCTTGCTTAAGACTGTAGAGTCTCTGCATCAACTCACATACACAGTTATCATGATCTTCACAGAATTCTATGAGTTGATTTATATATATTCATTCATCAGCAGGCAGTTGAGTGTTTAAAAAAGTACTCATCATATCAATCTGCAGAACATATTATTTCTGAGATACTGAGATTATCATGAGAGCTCAAGAGATGAATATAGAGATGACAGATGCAAGGATTCTTGAGTAATTGACTCTCTTCTGTTAATGATTTTCACAGACCACTCAGCAGGCCTTATAGTGAATAACCTCATTCATATTATTGAACTTTTTGTCAAATACTTATTAATCACAGAGAACACTCATTTGTGATATTCTCTTTATCAGTTATCAGATCTCAATCTGTTTTAAATAGTTAATCTCTTTAACACAGGTCTTGTAATAATACTTTCATTCTATGAAAGCTTTGATACATGTGAGATTTTTCAGAATTAA